ATTTCCACTTTCAAAATAAATTTTAGGTCGATATAACTTTGAATATTATACTGATTCGTTTTTAAGTGTGCACTAGCGACTGTGCAAGACGAAAAACGACGCAACAATGAACAAGAACTCTGGCGGCTTGCTTTAGCGCGATAAAAAGTTAGTTCCAGTTTCAAACGCTGGGCGCTGGCGGCGGTGTCACGTGGTGGGAAAAGGTCGGATACTAGCGATTTGGGCGGAAAAGGAAACGATGTACTCTCATAATGGACCTCGGACGTCAAACGGAACACATAATATAATTTATGTAATTGGTTGCACTAGTGAATAACAAGAAATTTTGGTTAAATTTAGTTTAAAATAAAATATGACATGACAGGAGGAGGTACTAAGGGCAAGGTAATAATAATTTAAATCAAAATAAAACGTCGTTTCATGTCATGATTTGTTACATTTTGACATGTGTCACATAATAGCCTCATTATTTCCATAATGAATAATATATTTAACAAGTATATCATATGATTTATTATTACATAATATGTGCATGCATTAAAAAATATAATATTATTATTTAAAATCCTTAAATTTAAATTCCAATCATAATTAATAATTTAAATGTATATAAATTTTAAATGATAAATAAATTAATAAGAATCAAAATTATTTTTTTAAATCATTGTTGACCCCTCTACGGATAAAGGCCTCCTCCATTTTGCTCCACATCTGTCTGTCTTTGGCGATCCAGTTACAACAAAGAATATAATTCATGTAATTGTCTGCTGTATATAAAGGAAAATTTGGCTAAATTTAGGTAAAAATTAAACATGACCGGAGGAGGTACTCACGGAAAGGCAAGGTAATATTAATTTAGGTTAAAAAAAACATGTTTCGTTTGGTCATGCCCTTTTGTCATATTTTGACATGTCATGCCAACAACAACCTACAACAAAGAATAAAATTCATGTAATAGCTGCGCTAGTAAATAACAGAAATATTTTGCTAAATTTACATTAAAATAAAACTTATCCATTATTGGCCTCGTTGGTGTCGGAAAAGGCGAACACTGGTTACCTCGACTTCATACGATATTATGTTTGAGCAACACGCAAGAACGGTCGTAGATACAAAATAATAACGTAGAAAATCTGGATTCTCAATTTACTTGCACGTATATTCACAACAACAATAAGTGCTTTGCCACACTAGACGGAAATTCCGTCGCCGAACTTCCGCGGCGGTCAATCCGTTCTATACGGTACCAGCCACACTGAATATTCAGTGACAGATCATCAATCGGTTGCCTGCGCTTATACGGTGTGGTCGTAAATTCGTGATGGATCTGATACAAGTGATAGCTATTTACGAGGCATTAGAAGAAGAAAGAAGAAAAAAGCGTAAATATTGGGTTCATCCCTTAAATACTCTTCGACTAGAAATTGGGCAATTTCATACCCTGTATATGCAACTAAGACTTAATCCAGACAAAGCATTCGAATATTATCGTGGAGTCCCAAAGGCAAATTCTATTTTGCACCTCAATAATAAATCGTTCAGTGTCAAACATCCTGTGCGTGCGTCGTCACTGCGAGTTATCCGCTGAATGTGGCGCGATGCATCCAAAATCCAAATACCTGTAATGCGACGTTGCCGATCTTACGCTGACGGAAGATCGGTGCGCGGACGACCGAGCAGACGCGAGCGAGTGAGCGGTCCGCTCCCAGCGCCGGATCGTCCGCGACGGAACGACCGATTTTCCGCGTAGTGTGCCCGCTATTTGTATTTTATATGCAATAACATGTATTGGCGTTCCGCCGCGGAAGTTCGGCGACGGAATTTCCGTCTAGTGTGGCAAAGCACTAACACTTTTGAAAAGTCGATTTATTGGTATATAATCTGTTATCCACAAAGTAACTATCTTTTCCAGAGATAGATAATCCACTGATATTGCCCAATTATTGGTTTTATTGTATATTTTTACCATAAACTATATTTAATTGATTATTTTATGAGGAGTCGATGTAAACGTTACGACTCAATCCCGATCGATATATAAATAGAGATTTTGAAATTGATTTGTAACGTTGTATGAATAAATAAGGTTGTATCATTGTTCTGAGTTAATGATGTACATCAAAAAAATATAAACGATTTTAAAACAAATGGTGACTTTCACCATTTGTTTTAAAATCGTAAGCAAGTGAAGCGAAATTAGACAATCATCACTGAATAAATTCAAAACTCGTTAAACGTAAATTAATTAAAAAACTTTTTATAATTTGACGATTATTAAGTTGATCCTAATCCATGGGATTGATTTGCTTCAAACAATTTGTTTGACTCAAAACTTGGCGATTAAAAGAGTGGCGGAGAGTTACTTGCCAGATCTCGCCTGCTCTACGGCTTTGCGAACTGGTAGTAAATGTAAATATAGAATCAATTTAACATCTTTTCTGCTGACGTTCATAAGTGTTCTAAGAATAAAGTTATTTTCAATTTGATCTCCCCACTGTTTATTCTAAATGAACTCGTTGGTATGAGACCAGGTCGGTATGATTTTACTCGGTTTCGAGTTTCCGGCTAGCACACCCTAATTCAATAGCAATGTTGGCCCCTTAAAGCGTAAGTGCAGGCTTAATTTGGTTCAGATATCCTCTGTAGTCAGATCTAGAGATATGATTTTAGCATCGCAGAATCATCGCCTTTGCCTGTATCCTAAGCTTAGCCGCTGTCGTAGCACCCATTTACTTGGAACACTTTCCAGTAGTACTCGTACTGGTTAGGTTAGTACATACATTAGGAGGCTTATTGGCGTTATGTAATGCTGTGTCAGTGATTCCCACCAAGGCAAGCCAAGGCCTAGAAAAAAGCATACTAATTCTTAAAAGGCCGGCAATTTGCGAGCTTGGTAGCAGTTTGAGTGTCCAAGGTCATCACTTAACAGCAAACCCGGCCCGTTTGCCATGTTATAAATAAATAAATAAAATAAATTGTGCGTGTACTAGGTAAATAAAACTTTTGTTGTACGCAGAGCCATAATTGGTTTGTTTTAAGTTTTGAGGTCCGAAACTATTTCTTTAAACACAGTAAATTTTGATACACAGCACTGCCTAGCATACAATTTACAAATTAATTGCTGCAAATTGCGATTAGAAAATTTCAAGTGGAAAATGTAATCCGTTGTCAAACTTCAAAGTCAAAAACATACTATATGTCATATTTTAACGCCGATAAAGAAGTTTGACTTCAAAAAGCAACATGGCGCGTAACGGAAAAATGTGACGCGTAACGCAAAAATGTTACACTAAATTTTTTTCCAACCCCGATAAAGAAGTTTCACTTCAAAAACAAATTCAATCAATTATTTATTCATCTTAAGTAGTTATATAAATTTTCTAAAAATAATACAAAAATCAATTAAATCTTACTCGTATCTTAACCTTTTATCAAAATATGTAGTATATACAAATTATACATATTTACAACGGTTTAATTTAAATAAAAAATAAATCCATATAAAAAATACAAAGACTAGTAATTACAACATAACATAAATAGTCATTTATATATATAGAGCAAACAAATCCAAGCGAAGAAATATTTTCCTACCAAATATTGGTTCGGTTCCGTACTGGAAGATATTTCAATGCCTTACTTCCAATTTGTCACCATTACATTAATTTATTAATATAGTGTTTAATGTTTATACAGCAACTGATATCATTTTACTAGCATCTACAGTATTGCCCCCAATACCGCGGAGATTTCTCAACATATTTCTGTAGTGAAATTTATAATGGTTTGTCAAGTCCATAATTAGTTTTGCGTACTTTTGCACCTGTTTCGAATTAAACTAAATAACTTTATTAAATTCGTGTTCCTTTTGGATTATTCAAAAAAAGGCTTTACGAGAATACTCCTACAACGCGGTCCTACCGCGTTAAAGGGGGAATTACTGTACTATAAACAAACTTCTGTATAAGGTCTTATTTATAAATATATATATGACGGCTCATTGGTCTAGTTGAGTACGCCTGACTGCGAATCCATGAGTCCCGGTTTCGATCCCCGGCTAAGACAAACATCGATGTGATGAGCATTTGGTGTTCTGCTTAGGTCTTGGGTGTTTAAATATGTATTTATATGTCTATCTATCTATAATATGTATGTATATCCGTTGCCTAGTACCCATAACACAAGCTTCACCAGCTTAGCATGGGACTAGGTCAATAGGTGTGAATTGTCTAATAAAAAAAAATATCGAATTGATAACCTCCTTCATTATTAAGTTGGTTAAAATACCTGTTTAAATTCTAGAACCTCTCTTGATATAATAAATAATATAATAATAGGCTATTAATTTTTGAAACAGTGCTATTTAGAGTAATGTTTCTGGCTTGATCGATGATATAACCTGTTTGTTAATAATGTCTCGATGACAATTGACACGTAAAATTATTGACATTTGTTAGTTGTTTACAAGCATTGTACGTCACATGCTGCGACGCCATCTTGTCTAGAGAGTTTTGGCGTGTAATAATTAATAACTAATAAAACTGAAACGGTTTTTAAAATCATATCAAAATACAGTGTAAACTCCATGTAACGCCTCTAGATTTAACGGCAAACGGTTGATTTAGCTTGTGTTCCTTATAATGATACACTCCACATAGCATTACACTCTGAATAACGGCATAATAGAGTATTAAATTACTTTTTAAGTTGCTAAAATTAATAAAAACTACGCAGCTGTGTACGTTCTTTTGTTGCTTTACTTGACTGTCGGCATCATGCATACGAACTTTCTAAGAAATACGTTCTTTTGTTTACAATTTGGGATTGCTTACACGTGCAGACTGTTGTTGACCATGACTCAGATCAAAATCAGACTCGAATCAGTAGGAATTATGGGTTTTTTCTCTCCATTTAACGTCATATAACGCGCAGTCGCTTCGGTGTCGTTATATAGAGTTTACACTGTATATATTACAGCTGACTCTTGGGTCAAAAAGATTTTATATAAACTTAAAGCACTTTTGCTTATCGTGAGGTATTCGTGTTTTGAATAGAACAGAGTCCGCCCTGAACTGTGTCGAGAGAAGTGGGGTGTATCCCATCACCTGTAAATATTAATGTAGCTATAATGATTGTCGCTTGATTTGGAGGCCGTAGGTTCAAACCCCAGCTGTGCAATGGACTTTCTATGTGCATAACGCACCGAAAAATATCGGCACATTTAAAAATAAATATGGCATTGAAGGCTTTTGGAAAAAAATATCAGGGAACTGATACAGAATATAAATAGCCTCAGAGCTAATAAAGCTTTTTAGCACATACTTAGTTTAGTTATACTTCTTTAGGCGCGTTATTAACAGAATGAAGTTGCCCACGGAAGATGCTACGGCATTGGACATAATTTAAAAACAACATTCGAATAATAGAATTTATTTTACACTTAATGTAAGAGAATAAATGTAAACTGAACTTTATTGACTATAACGACTCCTTTTCCAGTCTTTGATTATTTAATTGTAATTAATTATTTGCATGCAATCAAAAACTATTTTTAATAATGCCAAAGAAGTATCATTTCTTACGCGCGTACATAAGTACACGCAAGGGAGCGTTCAAGTATTACGTAACGAATTTTGGGGGGGTCCTTTTGTGAAACGTTACGATGCGGGGCGAGGATTGAATTACGCGTTATCGTTCGGCTTTCAATCTCCAAAAATTCCGTGACGTAATACTTGAACACTCCCTAAGATCAAGAAACAATACAGTAGAGACTCACCTGGGAAAAGAATTGTATGCATTTATGCCTTTCATGGAAGTGTGTTTCGTCAGCCGACAGCGTAACCGGACATCCGGGACAGCGGAAGGTCCATCGTGACGTCACCTTCATAAAAAAAAATTGTACAAATCTACCTTCACTTACCGCATTTAACAGGTTTTAATATTAAAAATTGATAATTTTATTAAGCTATTGCATACATTTTATCGCGGGCTTTGAGCGCGGCGACCGGATAAAGAAATTCCGTAACGAAAATAAACTAATCCACGATGAGATAATATGGGTGCGTTAGAGTGGGATAGAACGCATACTGCGTCTCACATCACACTTTCGACAGACAATATAGGTGTGTTAGTCTGAGTCTGGTAGAGTGGTAGATTGAATTAATATCAAAGAAAAAAATACTGCATAAATAAATAATTATAATTGCATAAGTCGATAAAAAATGCTATGCAATAACTTTACCGCGTCAGTCCCCGAGTGCCACACGTTTTTTTTTTACCTTAACGGGAGGTTTCCTGGTGATGTGCGCGACCAAAAAGTTCATAGCGATGTCTTCGCAATTCATATATTCATCGACATAGTCCCTCACCGCTGAAGGGAGTACACGCCAATAGGCCCACAGGTAGTACCGATGGACAAAGGCCGCACCTGTCAAAACCATGCTGAGCTCACAGCTGGGTAAAAAGAGAATCCATGTAAGAACCTGGGTAAGTGAGGTGTCCAGTGGTAAGCTGGCAACATTTTTGAAGTTATACTTCTTTTGGCGCGTTAGGGAAAAATTATGAGAGTAAATTTTTACGATGCACACGCACACCGTCACAAAAAACCGACACCCTGAAGTTAGCTATAGTCAACATTTGGTAAGGTCGTAAGTTCTAGTTTATATCGTGCCGGCGGATCGTTTAGAAAAACACGTCTTAACTTCACAAATGTATATTGGCAACTAACTTAATAAATTTCATCGTAACAATAATTGAGACTACATATTTTTAGGTTTAAATTGCAAAATAGAATCACCATAAGCCGCCCACCAAAGGACTACTGAAGTCCTTTCAAAATAAGTAAAATTAACAAACTTATAGGTGCATGCTTAAACTTACATGCTTTGAGTTTGCTTCTACAACAATTATTAAGTTATCGGTATATGGTGCGGTCAAAAGAATTTATACAAAGAAGAATAGTACAATAATAAATTTTAACAACTATATAGCACTAATCTATTTCGATGGGCAATGGACATAATTTGGTTACGCAACGCTTTGCTATATGATCACCACTCTTTACACTATAGACTCTGGTAAGACCGTCAGGGCCAGGATGCTTATCGATTATTCGTCCCATATGCCACTTTCCTGGTGGCAAATTGTCCTGTTTTATGAGGACAATATCTCCTATTTTGAATTCGTCTTCGCGTTTTAACCATTTCGGTCTTTGTTGCAGCCGCGTCAAGTATTCTTTTTGCCATCTTGACCAGAAGTCGTTTAGCAGTTTTTGCGTGTATTGCCAACGTGTTAGGTTGCTTATTTTAGCGTCTTTCATGTTCACATCAGGCACGGTTACAGGAGCTTCAGTTATTAAAAAATGACCCGGAGTTAATGGTTCCAACGTGCTGTCTTCCTGCGGGCAAAGCGGTCTTGAGTTCAAGCACGCCTCAATTCCACAGAGAACCGTCGTAAGCTCTTCATAGGTAAGGTTAGTATTAAGGATTCTTCGTAGGTGGTGCTTAATAGATTTCACACCCGTCTCCCATAAATTTCCAAAATTTGGGGAGTAGGCCGGGATGAAGTGCCATTGTGTTCCATCATTAGCAAGTAATTCACTAATTTCTCCATCAAACTGTAGGCGAGCTTCCTTCCAGGCTTCAACCAGATCTTTGTTAGCACCAATAAAGTTTCTTCCCTGATCACTCCACATATTTGTACATCTGCCTCTTCGTGCGCAAAATCGTTTAAAGGCACCAATGAATGCAGCTGAAGTCAGATCACCAACCAACTCCAAGTGGATCGCCTTCGTGGACATACATACAAAAATGGCTATGTATGCCTTGCCAGTTTGGGAGCCTCTGCCCCTTTTTATTAAAATTTGAATTGGTCCCGCAAAGTCGACACCGGAGTTAAGGAATGGCCGAGCTGGTTTTACCCGAAAACTCGGTAAGTCTCCCATCAATTGTGTTTTTACCCTCGCCCCATGTCTAGCACATATCAAGCATCGATGGATACACTGCTTTACTAAGGACTTCGCGCGGAGTATCCAGTATTTCGATCGCAGGTAAGTGAGCATCAATTGCAGTCCTCCATGCAGCGTCTTCAAATGTGCTTCTGCAACCACTAAATAGGTAAGTCTACTTGCATGACCCAAAATGATTGGGTGCTTCACTTCATTAGCCAGTTCAGAGTTCCTGAGCCGACCGCCCACCTTCAGGATACCATCTTCGTCAAGGTAAGGATCTAGTGCTTTTAGTTTGCTTGTTTTCTTAACTCTTTTTTTTGTTTTTAATGATTCTATATCTTCTGTAAATTCTTCTTCTTGTGCTCTTTTTATACAGGTTTGCATCGATGCGTGTAGTTCTTCAGTTGTGATTTTGCTATCTATTCCGTCTTTTAACGTTTTTTGTTTCAGGAATCTTCGGCAGTATGTGATTGTTCTAAGTAGATCTAATAGTGTATCAAATTCTTCAAATTGTGTATGTAGTCTCTTCTCTTGTTCATTTTTATTGTAAGTTATGTTTAAATTTTGTATTTTATTATTCTTCCTTTCAATCTCTGTTTGCATAGTGTTTGGTTTAGCGAACTGTATCTTCGATTGTTGTAACCAGTCTGGCCCATGCCACCATAATTCACACTTTTTTAGATTTTCGACTAACATCCCCCTGGAACCAACATCAGCTGGATTATCTTGAGTTTGGACGTGATGCCACTGACTGCAGGATACATTAGTTGTAATCTCAACAACTCTGTTTGCCACAAACACCTTCCAGTTGTTTGGATCTCCAAATAACCACGACAGGACAATGGACGAATCTGTCCAAGCATACATTTGAGTTGCAGGAATTCTCATTGCTTTACCAACTTGCTTAAGCAATCTTGAGAGTATCAACGCGCCGCAAAGCTCTAAACGCGGTAAGGATATTGTTCTCAATGGAGCCACTCTTGTTCTTGCTGCGATAAGCGTCGTTTTGTTGGCACCGTCTGGGTAAGTCACTCTGCAATATACTACAGCACTATATGCTTGAATGGATGCATCGCTGAATCCATGGAGTTCTATTGACTCTCTGTTGGCGCACGTCGTACCTATCCATCTTTCTATGTAGATTCCATTCACATGTTCAAGGTCAGATCGCAATGTGACCCATTTGCTGGCTATTTTGGAATTCAATGCATCGTCCCAGGTAATCTTTTCCAGCCATAGTTCTTGCATTAATATCTTTGTCAGAACGATGCTAGGTGCAATCCAGCCGAGTGGGTCAAACAACTTTTGGATGTCAGACAGAATGCTTCGCTTCGTGATCACTTTATTGATTGAAGGTAAGTTTAAATTGTACTCGAATCTGTCTTTTCCTAAATTCCATTGTACGCCAAGTGCCTTTATTGTTCCATCAATCTTCAATTCCAGATTAGCATTAGACGATCTATCACTAGGATCAACTGTTTCCAAGAACTCTCGGCTGTTGGATGACCATTTTTTTAGTTCGAATCCACCCAAATGAAGAAGCGCTTTAAGATCTTGACTCTTCTTTATTGCTTGTTGCAGATTGTCACCTCCAGACATTGCGTCGTCTACATAAAAATCTTCACGCAATATCTTAGCAGCTTCTGGATACCGGTCGCCTTCATCTTCTGCCAATTTCATAAGGGTTCTTACGGCGAGATAGGGAGCAGAAGCTGTTCCAAATGTAACAGTCAACAATCTATAGTCTTTGACTTCTTCAGAATGGTCATTTCTCCACAAAATTCTTTGATAATCTGTGTCTTCTCGGTCAACCCATATCATACGGTACATTTTCTGGATATCAGCCACAAAACAAACGGCGTGAGTTCTCCATCTCATTATCAGGTTCCTCAAATCGTCCTGCAGTACAGGACCCGTCAACAGTTCGTCATTGAGAGAGACACCGTTGGAGCCCTTGCACGAGGCGTCAAATACGACACGAGTTTTCGTGGTTTCTTTGTCATTACGAATCACGGCGTGGTGAGGTAAGTAGACTGATTTCTTATTTATTTCTTCTTTAGGTATTTCTTCGATATGTTTAAGGTCTATGTAGTCTTCAATTACCTTCTTGTATTCTTGCTTTAATTCTTTATTTTGATTGAACCTTCTTTCTAATTGCATTAGTCTCTTCATTGCTATTTCTCTCGTATTTCCTTCTGTTGATTTAGGTTCTTCAATGTTGAATGGCAATTTGACAACATATCTTCCACATTCATCTCGTTTCTGTGTCTTAGTGTATATATCTTCGCATAACTGTTCCCTCTGTGTTAGGTTTCTTTTCGTATCTTCATCAACTTCCCATATTGTTTTCAGTAAATCTTCTATATCAACTTCTTGTTTCATGACCGTTAAGGATTGTTCAGGCTTCTTGACCTTGATGTCAATTCCACCCATAAGAATCCATCCCAGGTATGTATCTTGTGCGCATGGTGTACCTGGTGGACCTTTGATCAATCCCTTCTTCATAATGTTTACATACTCATTGACACCCAACAGCAGATCGATGTTACAGGATGCGGAAAATGTTTCGTCTGCTAGTTGAATGCCAGCAAGATGCGGCCAATCTCTTCTTATTATTGTGTCTGAATGTATGTTAGAGGTCAAGGGCTTCGTCATCACGTAGGCTTTAATAGGTAAAATGAAATTGTTCCATCGTGATAATACATTTACGTTTACTTCATGCTTGACTCTAACCTTCGTGGACTCAAGTCCAGACACGATAAGATCTACTGCTGTCTTGTGTAGTTTCAGGATCTGAGTTGCCTTCTCACTTATAAAACATGCTTGAGATCCTGAGTCTATCAGCGCCTTCAATGTAGTAGTGTGTCCACATTCATTCTTTAAAATTACTACTGCAGTGGCTAATAGTGAAATTGTCTGTTTCTGCCCTGCGTGATAGTGTGACGCAACCATTGCTTGAACTTCCCCTTCTTCTACATTTGCTTGATTGGATGACATCGGTTGATTAGCTACAACATGAGAAGCCGATGCCTCCCCGTAATTAGGTAGATGTAGAAGAGTGTGGTGACGTCTCTTACATACACGGCATGATGTTGGCAAACGGCACCTAAACACCGAATGTCCAACCCCGAGGCAGTTGAAACAGAGCTTGTTTGTTTTGACATGTTCTCTACGTTCGTTTAGTGACATCTTGGTGAATACGTTACAATGGCATAACGTGTGCGCATCTGTACATAAAGCACAACTTCTTTGCTTTGGTCTTTCCGTGGCTGTAACGTGAAAGACTCGTTCCTTGGCAAGCTTCGTAGTAGTGGGGGGTTGACTAATTCCAATGTTCTGAATTTTGCCTCTAAAAACTTGCGCAGATCCCTCCAAGTCGACAAGTCCTGGGAATTCTCTGAGTAGGACTTTTGTTCCCACTCCTTCTGGGACTCTGGGTCCAACTTCTGTGCAACCAGAAATATGATTACTGGATCCCAAGAATCCGTGGACACCTCCAGATTTTCTAGACTCTGTAATACTTCGTTGGTGGTGTCGAGAAGAGATTTCAGTTGGGTTGCGGCTTGGCTGGTACATTTCTTCTGAGCAAAAGTCGCTTCAATAATGCGTTCACTATAAGACGCTTGTTGCCATATCGATGGTTAAGCGTTCCCCATGCTTGAATGTAATTAGCGCTTGTTATTGTAATGTTCTTCAATAAACTTGCTGGTTCACCTGTCACACTGGTTTTTAAATAGTGAAGTTTTTCGACGTCGTCTAGTGTGGTGGAATTGTGGACTAGTGATGTAAACAAATCTTTGAAACTAGGCCACAATTCATACTCGCCCGAAAACAGCGGTAAATGTATAGCCGGGAGATTAACTTTTTTATTTTGTTGGGGTTCTGGCGGCAATTGTTTATTTTTGCCAGACTCGACTGCCGCCAACATATCTTTTAAGTCTCCCAACATACACAAATACAAATCTTCTTGTATATAAAATTCTTCATTCTCGAAATATGGCAGCAATCCACGCTGCTCACGAGTGGTGCAGGTCAATAATTGTTTATGAGCTTCTATGAATATCACCCAGTATTCCTCAATTGTTTTTATTCTAGCTTGTAAGTAGCCCACTTTAGCCAGTCGTTCTTTGGGGCATTTTGATAGGTTGATCTGAGTTTTCTTCAATAATAGGGCTGTATTTTCGAGTATATTAATTGCTTGTTCAGTTTCCGTGGTCATATTTTACACGTCACAGTCGAAATATTCACACAAAAACTTTTAAATATTGACGCGTCGGCGCGAATAAAACTAATTGTCTTTAAAAATTGCACAAAACTTCAACCCGGCACTCGCTTATCGCTTTGGAATGCAGTTCTATTGTTCTCGCGGTAACCGGTCCTCGATGCAATGTTGTATTTCTATTCGGCTCGAAGTCGACCATATGGTAAGGTCGTAAGTTCTAGTTTATATCGTGCCGGCGGATCGTTTAGAAAAACACGTCTTAACTTCACAAATGTATATTGGCAACTAACTTAATAAATTTCATCGTAACAATAATTGAGACTACATATTTTTAGGTTTAAATTGCAAAATAGAATCACCAACATTTTAGTTTTTTTATGATATTTATATAAACCTTATTTAACTAGATAATGCGTTATAATAAAACTTTCAATGTATTAAATAAATTTTTCTATTGTTAGTGTCGTTTTTTCTACAAACGTAGAATAACATGTTTGAAAAGATTTTTATTTTGTTATGCCAAAGAAGTATAACTTCTAACGCGTGTACATAAGTACACACACTTTTTTTTTAATTTCTTTAAATTATTTCCTTTAAAATAACGTAAAATTGATTTAATAAATATACAACTGCAATTTATATCAGCAATAATTTAAAGAATATTGGGGCTAATTTTTTAAAAGCATTCCATACATTTAAGTAAAATTAATTTCATCAAAAAAAACCTAATGGTTGTATTAATAATAAATCAAATAGTACTGATACCGCGTGTGATTGTACGAGCAACGCCATCTATTGAGATAATAAGTAACTACCTGTAATTAGAATTGTAGAGAAACCCGTTATTAAAGTTCAGATCCCAAGCGTGGTATCGTCCAGGAAAACCAACTATCCTGTCGCGATGTTCACGCCACACTCTGGAATTTTATCAATTATCATATTAATATATATAAATTACGTGTCACGTTGTTTGTCCGCGATGGCCTCCTAAACTACCGAACCGATTTGAATCAAATTTGCACACCGTGTGCAGTTTGATCTAACTTAAAAGATAGGATAGCTTACATCTCAATTTATACTCGCAATATTTTTTTATTGCAAAATATTTGTTTCTTATTTAATAGTCACAATTCTAACAGATGGCGCTGTGTTGAAAGTACCAACGTTTCACATAAGCTACAATTTAATGGCATAACCACCAAAAAAGCATGGTGGATTGGTGTTCTCCTGCCGTTTCTCTTGAATAGTTTACTACTATGTAATACAACAAAAATCTTAGCCACAGCAACGCTTGGCCGGTCTGCTAGTAAAAATATAATAAAGGTTTTTTTACTCCTTTATCAATTCTCTTAAAGTTTGTTTACGTGATTACTTGGACAGGTTCACAAAATTATGAATCATTTCATTTTTAACATAAAAACATTTTGTATAGTGTAATAAATCTGAAATGGTTTGGAAGATTTCTTATATTAAGGGTCTGTTTCACAATGTATGGATAAAGTACCAAATAGCTATGTAACACATAAATTATTTGGAAGATAAATTGTGCTATTTGACATTCATCGGGCTCATAGTTTATGATGGACTTTATGTCACGAATAGCGCTATATCTGCGAAATATCTGACAGTCGTGAAACGCAACAATAGAGTTTATCCTACCAATAAGTAATAAATAGCTAATTTGGAACTTATGTAGAACTTATCCTATATCTCTAAACTATCGAATAAATATTCGTACTGTCCGGGCCTGATTTAGGGAAGGGCAACAGAGGCGACAGCCCCGGGAGTCTACAAAAGAGGGGCCCCAATAATAGACTTCGGAAAAAAAAATCCGACTAGCAAACAACTTTTCTTTTGATATATTTTTATATGTTTGTTAAAAAAGAATCTACCTACTTGGTTTCACAGTAAATCATTGATTGAAAAACTGGACTGTTTTTTTTTTAAATTCTATTTCGAAAATAATTAGGCCCTAGCCCCAAATTTCTACTCCTTTGCTGCTCCGAGGCCACCAGACCTCTAAATCCGGCTCTACGGACTGTTATACCTGCGTTACCCTTCTGTATTAATGCCAATTATTAACATTGCTTACACATGCATATTACAGAAATTAATATTAAAAAAAAACGTTGTTAATGCACACACATTCTGGCACATAATCCGCATTGTTAAGAATTTTGAATGAAAAAATAGCAGTAATAACTAAAATTAGAAGTGTAATATTTTTTTGTAAAATTATTTTCACCGTAATTATATTTTAGAATATATAGGCTGTAACATATACTGTAGAAAATGCATTATGATGTGGTGGTACTTTAATAAATATTTTTTATGAGATCCTATCGTTTATCCAGTCCATCACGATACCTCAAAGAACTTGTTCTAAAATTTCTTAATTTATTAAATAAGTTCTTTGTTTCTTTTTAAGAGAAATTATGTCTTAAAACAGTAATTCATAATCGGTGACAGAACGTACACAAAATCCACGGTGGAAATTGTGTGTGTGCATATAACACAAACTCAAAATAACTTTATTCATATAGGTAACCAAGTACACTTATGAACGTCAAAAAAGAAGTTAAATTAATTGTAAATTTACATTTACTACCAGTTTGCAAGTCAAGAACGTAGAGCGAAGAAGAACTGGCAAGAAACTTTCCGCCACTCTTTTTGATCGCTAAGTTTTGAGTCACACAAATTGTTTGAACTGGAGCAAATCAATCCCAAGGATTAGAATCATTTAAATAATCGTCAAATTTATAAAAAGCTTTATTGATTAATTTACGTTTAATTATTGTTTTGACTTTATTCAGGGATAATTCTCTAATTTCGCTTGGGAGTTTGTTGTCTGTGTGTGTATATAATTGTATACACACCTGAAAGCGAAAACTATTTCGTCGTGTCGTAAATGGGCATCGTCGTCTACACACAATACAGCCTCAGTCTCAATGAGGTGGTATGGAAGGAAACGATTGTTCAAAGAGTTCCGCGGAGTTCGAACAACCGCCACTGGAGCCCCGGATTCTGGCCAGGTCATTGATGGAGAGGGACCGGTCACACCATTCCACACTACCACCACCTGTAAGAGAGTAACATCATTGAAAAAATACCTGGTAAAAGGGAAAAAAGCACAAAATCGATAGATAGATAACCTCACATTTCACATAAACTACTAAACAGATTTTGATGAGACTTGAAAAGGATAATCTCGATATAACAATCCGAAAAACATACAAATACTTAATTTAGGAATATCACATACAGGTCAAGATAACATCCTTTTTTCAGTTGGTTAAAAGTGTCGGATATTCCAAATGGAAGAACAAACTGTGTAGTTTCTAATTTCTAATCTAATTTGTGAACAAAATGCGTATGTTAAGGTACGATTCCGCCAAAATAATATGCAGCACATTTGTTAACAAACCTTCTGTGCACAACAATGGCAGAACAGGTACTAAGTAATTATTAAATGTAATTATTTTATTTTATCTCATACACTGTTTTGTTGTGTTTTTTTTTATAATTTTATTACTCTTTAATGATAATATTCTACGGTTTCGATATTTGTAAATATGTGAGGAACATGTATACTAACTTTTTTAGTATAGTAGTTTTATTCTAAGAGTACATTGTCTTCACATATAATTATTTAACTAATGTAAACAAAATATTGTAAACCTATTTTAAAAGAGTAAGTGTGGAGTTTCTTGCCCATTCTTCTCCACACGAAACTACCTTTTGGAAGGGGCTACTAGAATCTTCTTTGTATTTTTTTTTGACGTTCAAAAGTGCCATTTTAGATGGTCTAATTGAAATAAATGATTTAACTTTGACTTTAAGCCGGTATCTTCACCGGCAATGCTGTGTGTAACTTTTGTGAGCGCAGTATTGCACACACACACACGTTTACGAACTTGTTCACTTAGAAGATGCTGCTTTGTGTTGCAGCCTGTGTTGTGCGCGCACAATTAAATTTTTCGCGTTGGGAGCGGAATCAACACTGAGTTCGCGAACGAGTGTGTGTAAATCTACTCAGTGCGCAGTTGTGCGCAAACTTTGCTAAAATATTCGCGCACAATTTGTTGTTGTTCGCTTGAATGAGTCGACCATAAATTTAAAAGAATGTCTCTATTCGATTAAAGATCATAAACAATACGAACCTTATTCAAATATGGCAACCCCCTTAACCTCGCCAGTGCAGCTGCCAACACCGCCTCCCTTTCATACGTCAATATCACTATTGTGAACTGCTCCCTCGGTCTGTCACCACCCAGTGCCTCACTAAATTCCTTCCCTGACCCACCAGCCCCCGCCCCGACGGGTCTAAACCCAGCCGCCGAACCCAAAAACCTCGCTTCAGACGTCACCGGAGGATCCCAGGGCAACTGGGGGTATATTGAGAACGGCTCCCCCCAATCATTCCACATCTCATAACCGTGCAGAAGAATTAGGGAATAATTCCGTTTATATGCTGGACTGGGGTAGGGCGCTTCCAGGGGCCCTAAGGTCTCTTCAGGCTCGGAGTCAACAGCTGGAGGTTCCATTTTCAACGGATAGTACGAATCGTTGAACGCCGGCATACCCACCGATGCCACAGCTGGTCTCCCTGGGATGTTCAAGCGCGTTCTTATCACTGCTAGCAACGTATCGACGCTCGCTTGCAACGAACTCATGTATCTCTCCCATAGAACCCGTCCTTGTCTCCTAAACACCAGTAAATCTGGATCCGATAAGGCTCGGAGCAAGAAATGCAGTTCCGTACACCTAGCTTTAGGCAGAGACAGCGTCGCCCGACGCCAATCTAAGACCTCATCATATGGCAAATTTAATCTATCCCCTCCCAGTATAACTGGAATAGCACCAGAACGCAACGCTTCATACAATCTCGCCTGTAAGAGAGCTGTGGAAGCGTACTTCTGGTCGGAAGGTGCCAATATCAGGACGAAGGTGGAATCGCGAAGAATCGCCCGTCTGGACCTATCTGTCCCGCATAACGCCCAATCCCCGATGGGCAGAATCGCCCGTCTCTCAACTGACGGGTCGCATTCGAATTGCAAGAAGAACACGTCAGAAGATGGCGCCGCTTTGGCAATGTTTTGGAGTGATTCAATCAATTGCTTGTCGTTGTCTTTGTTGGGTGCGGTCGCTGGTGAATGTGAGCCCTGAAAACTGCAAAGCTATTATACATACAAGCGTTTTGGAAATTGAAGTGTAAAGTAATTTCAATTAATTTTTTTTTTTTATTACGGAACATAAGATACAGGTATCACCAAATTTGAATCTGTAGGCATCTACTCTTCGGCAAAGAATACAGAGGGTGTAGGCCGAGAGAAAAAGCTGGCGTAATAAACTCTCGGTACTCTTTTAAAATAGCAAATCATCAAACAATACTTATTTTAAAACAAATATCGCAAATTAATTAGAAGTAGCCTGTCTAGCACTAGTCCCAGGCCCTTTTATCAACTAGATAATCGTTAACTTCATAGTAAGCCTTTTTACACAGCTTTTCTTTAATACATTTCTACATTCTAAACTAACTAAATAACTTCTAATACTAACGCCTTTAGTACACCTACGCAATCGCATGCGGCAGCGAAACGACGAAAAAACTGTAAGTTGTATGGCAACGTTTCGCATGTGTTTTGTCTCGCTCTAATATATAGCTAGATGAAATAGTTACGTCCTTGTCGGTGTTGTTTCGCAAGTAACTGCGAAATGGCTGTTACACAGACGCAGACGTTTCGCTAGTAAAGTTTCGCATCCCAAGGCGTCACCACGCGTTCTGTCAGTGAGGACAGAATTTCGCACAATGGAAACCGAAAATATTGAATTATTATTGAATTTGATTCGAAATTATCCCGAATTATATTTAGTTGGGCATGTTGATTACAAAATCCTCTTCAGAATCTGAAAGCGACGACTGGGACGACTCAGATGACATTCTGAAACGACGTCTGCACCTACAGCCCACGAAAGCTACCGCAATTATTTCGCAAAGACTCGCAGCCGCATACGAACGCGTAGGTGTACTAAAGGCGTAAATTCTTGAAATGATAATAGAAAATTATATTTGACTATAAAAATGTTTAAATTTATCCGTTACCTGCATTAATAATAAAAAATAAATCAAATCTATTGATAGAGAGATTGATAGAGTGAATCAAAAAAAAATAGGTCTAGGCCTCAGATTTCTGTATCTGTTTCATGATCATTTGTCAATCTAATAGGCAAGTAGATGATCAGCCTCGTGTGCCTAACGCACGCCGTCGACTTTTTGGGTTTAGACCCAAAAAGTAAACCGGTTTCCTCACGATGTTTTCCATCACCGTTCGATTGAATTTTAAATGCGCACACAGAAAGAAAGTCCATTGGTGCACAGCCGGGGATCGAATCTACGATCTCAGGGATGAGAGTTGAATGCTAAAGCCACTAGGCCTGTATTATGGGCGTAAATATTCTTGAAGAAGAAAGAATTCTAGAAATTTTAGAACACAAAAGATACTAGTAGAAAATTCACCCTAATTCAAATGACAACCGCAATGTAGATCTTATGTACCTTAGAAGATATTTCCTCCTTGCTGGGGCCATTGGGGCGCATTCGGGCCAAACATCACCACCTGGTGGCCCCAAAGCCGGTGGGGTTATGACATCATATCCCGGTCTAAATCGCTCCAGTGTGAACGTCGACTGTGCGATCATCGCTCTCCCTGTAGATGATCCAAAGAAAGAATCACCAGAACCAACAGACAACTCTCGCCTGGCCAAGTTTAATAAAACATGATTTCGGCCATCACCCCCCCAGAATGGGAGGGATTTAATCGCAGTTTCGTTCAGCATTTTATATGGCTCTGTAGATCTGAAATTGAAGTTTGAAGGTTTTAGTCGCACACATAGATTGGTGCATGGGTACCCGCACATCTTCCAATTATATATGTAATAATTAAATTTTTGTTACTGTATTTACTATTTCATTCCTTAGTATATATAGCTTGCCCCGGAGAACAAAGTCGTAGAAGCAAAATCAATTTTTTTTTTCAGGAAAATTAAAAGATGGTAATGCTATTATTACTAGGTCACAAAGTACATTACGATTAAAACATTGATGTTATGTATTTAGTGTAAAAAGTTAAAAAATTACTAAATGTAAATTACAATAATTTATCTAATTAGACTGAAGAGCATAAGCGATTTACGATTGTTTCACTATTTAAACATAATTACGGACGACACCGTAACCGCACATTACGACGGTAATTTTGACGATAATTTATTACCACGCTTGTCGCGGAAATATTGACCTAGGTGAAACAGATACTCGTATGTTATTGTGGTAATGTGTCTTTATTAACATTTATTTGGTAGAATTACAATATAAACTAAAACTATCTTTACGATTGTTGCGATCTATTTCAGGAATGTAAAATTAGGTAAACGAGTATTACTAACATTGGATTCAAAATAATTTCCGTAGAATAAAGACAGAAAATTCCGAAAAAATTCAGTACAAGTCAAAAATGAGAAAAAATTAAAATAGTCGTATAGTGCGTTACGACTTTGTACCTTTGGGCAAACGATTATTGTAGTGAAAATCAATTCTTTAGTGGACATAAAATGTAAACAATATATGTTCCATAATCACATACATTTTTTTTTACTAAACAATAAAGAAATATAAAGATTTAAATTACACTTAAAAAGTACTTATTGGTTTAAAATATTTTTTGTGTTGGATATTATATGTAGTAGTCCATTTATAGATTAGAAAAAAATATATATATCAGTGGTGCTACAACCTTCTCAGGTCTGGGCCTCAGATTTCTGAATCTGTTTCATGATCATTTGTCAATCTAATAGGCAAGTAGGAAATCACTGACACACGCTATCGACTTTTTGGGTCTAAGGCAAGCCGGTTTCCTCACGATGTTTTCCTTCACCGTTCGAGCGAATGTTAAATGCGCACATAGAAACTCCATTGATGCACAGCCAGGGATCGAACCTACGACCTCAGGGATAAGAGTCGCACGCTAAAGCCACTAGGCCAACACTGCTATAAAGAATAAAATAAAAACTTACAGAGTCTTGGTGTTTGGAAACGCTTCACCAATAAGCACGAGATATAAACAGGCCTCATTTGGGTTTCGTGTCAAATGCGCATTATAACTTAAAGTCTGTCGCAGTGTCGTTTTCAAGAAACCATCAATCTCTGCACTAGCCAACGGTGAATATATATCAGGGTCATAGAAGTAAATCGGAAAGCCAGAGGTAAGCGAGCACCTTGAGTGATCAAAACATGAGTGCATACGACAATTAATTTCTAATGAAGGATTTAAGGGGGGAAGGATGGAGGGGGGCGAGAAGGTAATATTTGATCTGGTGGGGCCAATTCTGGGGAGTCCCGACGAATGGCTTCGAGCTGTGCTAGCCTGGCTTGATCGGCTGACACTCTCAAGCGCTGCAATTCCGCTGATGCTCTAGCATATTCAGCCTTTACACTATCAGCTTTTGCGCTCGCTAATGCTGCTTCTTTCTGTAGACGCCCCCGTCTTTCCTCTAATTCACGAAGTTCTGTGGACACTGACGCCTGAAAAATACATTTTTAAGCAAGTAATGTTATAATTTTATTACTACGTAGTCGGTCCCAAAGTTCTGTCATAAATGGAAATAATCATAAAAACAAAAGTACTGATCAGTTTTTAATGAGTGATATATCAATTCATAGTACATTAATTAAGGAATAGAAATAGCATAAACTTATTCGAAATGACCTCCCTTATTTTTAATACAGGCCCTTAAGCGCCGCGGCCAGTCGTCTATCGCAGCACGCACCATATTCATGTCGATTTCAGTGACTGAGTTTTTTAAAGACGACTGCAGACTCTCCAAATTTTTATGGGGTGTATCACAGACCTTCCTCTCTAAGACCTGCCAAAATTTATAGTCCAAAGGATTAAGGTCCGGACTGGAGGAAGGCCAATCCTCATGTCTAATTAAATCGATGTTTTGACGCTCAAACCAGGCTTTAGTGGTCTTGGCTTTGTATGCAGGCTCAAAGTACTGCTGGAACACGAAGTGATGTCCCGCAAATAGGGTGCTGGACAGGTCTTTGACAAGGCGATCCAAAACCGTCTCCCGGTACACTTTAGCTCTGGTTTTGACCCCCTTTTTGCAAAAATGAACCTCAGTTAGCCCGTAATAGGACACTCCCAACCAGACCATTACTGATGATGGATGATGTCCATGTTGTACCCTTGGAACTTTATTTTTAGCTTCTTCAGAACTCCTAGCGTACACTGTATCAATCTGTTTATTGTACTTCTCTTCATTATCGAAATTTTTTTCGTCCGTAAAGAGGATATCACGGTGTCGGTTTTTCGCGTACCGCTTAAACAACACCCGCGATCTCTTAAGCCTTATTGCTTTTAGACGAGCATTAAGTAAGTTCCCACTTTTTTTTGTATGCTCGTAGACCAAGATCTTCATTTAAAACCTTTTTTATTGTTTTCCTACTGACACCCATCTGCAAAGCCATCAACTTCTGTTTTCGGACAGAATTTCTTACTATCCGCGCTTTGATAGCTTTGATTACTGCTGGTGTTCTTGCGGAGCGTGGCCGACCAGTTCTTTTCTTGTCCTCAACACTGGAGACTTCAAGGTACCTATCAATAGTACCGTACACAAACCTAAGCGTTATATTAAAATTTTTGAGCAACTTGAAAATGGTACTCGGCGAGTGCCCACAGCGGTGCAACACAATAACAACTATTCGGTCTTCTTTCAATGTCCACTCCGTCGTGAAAACTTACTGAAAGTTATTGTTTTTTATTTTAAAACAATAGTCAAACATTCCAAAATAGAATGCAATAACTTTTTTATAAAATCCTGCTCGAAATATAGAAATAATGTGCCAGTGACAGAACTTTGGGACCAACTACTATATATGGTAAAGGGGCTGTTCAAGTATTATGTAGCAGATTTACTGCAATTTATACACACACACACACTTAATAAAATGCAAACATTAACTAACAATAAAATGTGAGTATAGTATAGATTCAGATGTTCAGACTCAACAGAAAAATGTTCCCGGCCAAAAAGGTTTGCCATCTCTGACATGTCAAAAAATTATAGCTGCCACAATTCTACGGAATTAAAAGTTAGAGTATAGATAAATAAAAGACACTGGGCTCTTTTTCTAAAGAACAGGCTCATCTGATATTAAATGTCCATGGACACTCACACTGCCTGAAGGCTCGCAAAAAAATTTACTCTCTCTGCTTATGGAACAACAAAGAGGTGATATGGGTGGAAATTTGTATTCTGCTTGACGTCTGATGATGAAACTCAGATGCAGGCCATCTGTAATCTCAATGATAAATGTTATAGAAGCTACAGACCTGACATCACTACAACACGCCAATAGATCAAGTCACTGGGAAAGTGACTGGTTGTTGATGATTCAATTCACTTGGAAGAAGCTGGTACTGGGAAGCTCCCGCTCATGAGGTGAGAACAGTATATGTGGGGCTAAATTTGTGCATTGTATAGTTCCAAATTATACCCAGAGTAAAGTACCGTCTCTCTTTGCTGACCACACCAAGCTTCTAAGAGCATAGTTATTTTAAATGACCGTGAAAATGTATGTCATTCATTATGTAGAAGATAGATTAGCCCAGTATTTCAATGGTGGCTGAGGCTTTAAAGAGAGGAGTAGCGACAAAAGGTATTTTTTTTAAACACACAAACTTGTGTCTTCTTTAAAATCTATTGAATACATTATAACAATACATACCTTGATTCTTAACATTTCTTTTATCCTAAGTTTTAAGTCATCTGCGTTTACAGTTGATATATCAGCTAATGAATCTAAATTATGCATTGCATTTAATCCTAGCGTTGAAGATGATTCATACTAAAAAAAGAAATTTATCTTTAATAATATTATATTGATGATTCACAAATCATATAAATAAGGCTTTTGCAGATAAATTGATCATTAGTTTTTCTAAAATCTGTAATTTTTATTAATATTGTTTATATTGAAACAGAATTACCCAGGCATCTGAAACCAGAAAACCTACAAAGAAAAAACAATGAGTGAAACAGAAATGAGTCTACCCTATTCCATCAAGACACTTTTAGCATGAAAGAATTAATATTTGTTTTTGTTGTGGAATATTGTTATCAGACTAGAATCTACTTATCAAATAGATCTATCAATATAATGACAGATACATGCAGTATATCAAAGTTAAATAAGATGTTTCACACATTTCTGTGAATTAAAAAGTAATTAAAGCACAACTTTCTTATGAAGAATGCAATGTAAGAATTTATTTGCATAGTAAAGGTTTATTACCTTAGATAAATAATAATGAGTAACTAGAGGAACTAGGAATAATATCACAGACACCATTAATATGACTCGAGAGAGTTTAATATGCCCTAACCACTGGAAAATTTTATCGTGTAAATGCATTGTTGACGAGAAAATTAATTCACTGTAACTCTTGTTATTAGACACATTAGAGAAAAATAAATATTCATATTAAATAGGCTATTGTGTTTTCACCGCATTTTAATTGACAAAATACGTCAATGATATACTGAAACTTGTTTAATTGCGTTTTAAGCATAATAATCTCATGATAATGCCTCCGAAATAATAAAATTTAAAATACACAAAAAATACACCCTTGACTTTTCGTTTGATTCTCAGACTACAACTAATTTCGATTTTCGACCACAGTCCTAGCACATACGTCAGACACTTATTGCACCACAGATGGAATCACAGATTTATTATTGAATAGTAGATACTGTGTACATCGACAAGAAGGATTAATGTTAAGGGCTACTTTTTGTTCAACTTTATTGAATCGAACGCGACCAAATAATAGTTTAGAACATAATATATAAAATTTAATATTTTAATTAAAACTAGTTTATTAAGTAAGATTAATAAAATATAGGTACTATGTCTAATATAATAAAAACTTCATCTTCAAGTAAATAAATATATATGGGCGCAAATTCATATATAATGATTATATTGTTACATAAATATAAAGATTGATATTTAATTCAAGTAAATAAATATATTTAAGATAATAATAAACAATATAAGTCTGTGGCAAATTCATAGCATTTATTATTTATGTTTAAGGAATTGTCATTCATCATCATATTTTGGTAATATCGGGGTCAAATTAGTTGAAAACCGTTATATGGTTAATTTTATTTACCAATATTAATGGATCTGCAAATTAACGACTATTTGATAGTCTGTAGTCTTTATAATAATTAATATTGAATAAATTGTGTTAGTGTCAGTTGTTATTGTCATTGTCATTTAATAATGTCAAAGTCGAATTGGTTCGAGGCCGTTAATACGAATGGTTTATTTAATTTGTCAATGTTGCTAGATCTATAAATTAACGGCTATTCAATGGTCGATAATAATAATGACTCCATAGTCATTAATTATTATTATTGAACGTAATATATAATCATATCACTTCAAACATTTAAAACTTATTGATAATGAATATTCAAGAAACTCGTTGACACTCGATTCTATGACTGCCGTTTGACTCTGTGGTCGATTCGGGTTCGGTCGTGGAACGAGTACACGAAATGTCACGAAACTTGTTTATTACAAATTCGTCAAGCAGAAATCATAGTTAACATTACGATATGTATATATAGGTATATTATGATATGTGGTTTCGATCCCCACCCGCCTTCTATAAAAGAAAGGCCTCAGTGTGCCACGCGCTCTGTTGATGCACGGACGTTGACAAGACAAGTGGTTGGTGTCAAGGCCCTATACTGTGAGTACGTTTTTGTGTTATTTTATTCGGTGGTTTTTGAAAGTGAAGTGTTTTAACTAAAGTTGTGGAAGTGCAATATTGTATGAGGGCCTTGGATGCGTGATGTATGATAGACTAGTCACTAACGTAATGTCGTCGTGATTAATTAACAGGATTACTGTTGCACAGATTGCGAAGACGAATACCCCGATGAAGGTCGGCCTTTAGCTGCGTGTACTGATCCTTCAGCTTCCTCAAGAACAACCGAACCACATATTGGTGAACATGGCGAGCAAGATGCCGTTCTCCCGAAGAAAAGATCACCAGTGCATCCGAGGACGGTGCACGGTCTGGAGACGCCGTATAAGTATGTATGTAAGTATTTTAATTGTATTTTTTTTTTAATTATTAATTTCTTTTATATTATTTTTTTTGTAAAACTTACGTATAGGTTAATTGTCACACATTTTAGATGTAAGATTTCTTAAAATAATTAAAAGATTTTGTACTGTGTGTGATGTTGTAAGTTTAATAAATAAATAAATAAATATAAGCAGAAATCATAGTGGGTGGTTTCAATCCCCATTCGCCTTCTACAAAAGAAAGGCCTGTGTGCCACGCACTCTGTTGTTGCTCGGACGTTGACAAGACAAGTGGTTGGTGTCGAGGCCGCATACTGTGAGTACGTTTTTGTGTTATTTTTATTCGGTGGTTTTTGAAAGTGAAGTGTTTTAACTAAAGTTGTGGTAGTGCGATTTTGTATGAGGGCCTTGGATGCGTGATGTATGATAGACTAGGCACTAACGAAATGTCGTCGTGATTAACTAACAGGATTATTGTTGCACAGATTGCGAAGACGAATACCCCGATGACGTTGGTGAGCCTTTAGCTGCGTGTACTGATCCTTCTGCTTCCTCAAGAACATACGAACCACATATTGGTGACGATGACGAGCAAGATGCCGTTCTCCCGAAGAAAAGATCACCAGTGCATCCGAGGACGGTGCACGGTCAGGACAGGCCGTATAAGTATGTATGTAAGTATTTTAATTGTATTTTTTTTTAATTATTAATTTCTTTTATATTATTTTTTTTGTAAAACTTACGTTAACATTTATTGTTACACATTTTAGATGTAAGATTTCGTAAAATAATTAGTAGATTTTGTACTGTGTGTGATGTTGTAAGCTTAATAAATAAATAAATATAAGCAGAAATCATAGTGGGTGGTTTCGATCCCCACCCGCCTTCTATAAAAGAAAGGCCTCAGTGTGCCACGCGCTCTGTTGTTGCTCGGACGTTGACAAGACAAGTGGTTGGTGTCGAGGCCGCATACTGTGAGTACGTTTTTGTGTTATTTTTATTCGGTGGTTTTTGAAAGTGAAGTGTTTTAACTAAAGTTGTGGTAGTGCAATTTTGTATGAGGGCCTTGGATGCGTGATGTATGATAGACTTAGCACTAACGTAATGCCGTCGTGATTAATTAACAGGATTACTGTTGCACAGATTGCGAAGACGAATACCCCGATGACGTTGGTGAGCCTTTAGCTGCGTGAACTGATCCTTCTGCTTCCTCAAGAACATACGAACCACATATTGGTGGCCATGACGAGCAAGATGCCGTTCTCCCGAAGAAGAGATCACCAGTGCATCCGAGGACGGTGCACGGTCAGGAGAGGCCGTATAAGTATTGTATGTAAGTATTTTAATTGTATTTTTTTTTTTAAATTATTAATTTCTTTTATATTATTTTTTTTGTAAAACTTACGTTTACATTAATTGTCACACATTTTAGATGTAAGATTTCGTAAAATAATTAGTAGATTTTGTACTGTGTGTGATGTTGTAAGTTTAATAAATAAATAAATAAATATAAGCAGAAATCATAGTGGGTGGTTTTGATCCCCATTCGCCTTCTATAAAAGAAAGGCCTCAGTGTGCCACGCGCTCTGTTGTTGCTCGGACGTTGACAAGACAAGTGGTTGGTGTCGAGGCCGCATACTGTGAGTACGTTTTTGTGTTATTTTTATTCGGTGGTTTTTGAAAGTGAAGTGTTTTAACTAAAGTTGTGGTAGTGCGATTTTGTATGAGGGCCTTGGATGCGTGATGTATGATAGACTTAGCACTAACGTAATGTCGTCGTGATTAATTAACAGGATTACTGTTGCACAGATTGCGAAGACGAATACCCCGATGAAGGTGGGCCTTTAGCTGCGTGTAATGATCCTTCTGCTTCCTCAAGAACACACGAACCACATATTGGTGACCATGGCGAGCAAGATGCCGTTCTCCCGAAGAAGAGATCACCAGTGCATCCGAGGACGGTGCACGGTCAGGAGAGGCCGTATAAGTATGTATGTAAGTATTTTAATTGTATTTTTTTTTTAATTATTAATTTCTTTTATATTATTTTTTTTGTAAAACTTACGTTTACATTAATTGTCACACATTTTAGATGTAAGATTTCGTAAAATAATTAGTAGATTTTGTACTGTGTGTGATGTTGTAAGCTTAATAAATAAATAAATATAAGCAGAAATCATAGTGGGTGGTTTCGATCCCCACCCGCCTTCTATAAAAGAAAGGCCTCAGTGTGCCACGCGCTCTGTTGTTGCTCGGACGTTGACAAGACAAGTGGTTGGTGTCGAGGCCGCATACTGTGAGTACGTTTTTGTGTTATTTTTATTCGGTGGTTTTTGAAAGTGAAGTGTTTTAACTAAAGTTGTGGTAGTGCGATTTTGTATGAGGGCCTTGGATGCGTGATGTATGATAGACTTAGCACTAACGTAATGTCGTCGTGATTAATTAACAGGATTACTGTTGCACAGATTGCGAAGACGAATACCCCGATGAAGGTGGGCCTTTAGCTGCGTGTAATGATCCTTCTGCTTCCTCAAGAACACACGAACCACATATTGGTGACCATGGCGAGCAAGATGCCGTTCTCCCGAAGAAGAGATCACCAGTGCATCCGAGGACGGTGCACGGTCAGGAGAGGCCGTATAAGTATGTATGTAAGTATTTTAATTGTATTTTTTTTAAATTATTAATTTCTTTTATATTATTTTTTTTGTAAAACTTACGTTTACATTAATTGTCACACATTTTAGATGTAAGATTTCGTAAAATAATTAGTAGATTTTGTACTGTGTGTGATGTTGTAAGCTTAATAAATAAATAAATATAAGCAGAAATCATAGTGGGTGGTTTCGATCCCCACCCGCCTTCTATAAAAGAAAGGCCTCAGTGTGCCACGCGCTCTGTTGTTGCTCGGACGTTGACAAGACAAGTGGTTGGTGTCGAGGCCGCATACTGTGAGTACGTTTTTGTGTTATTTTTATTCGGTGGTTTTTGAAAGTGAAGTGTTTTAACTAAAGTTGTGGTAGTGCGATTTTGTATGAGGGCCTTGGATGCGTGATGTATGATAGACTTAGCACTAACGTAATGTCGTCGTGATTAATTAACAGGATTACTGTTGCACAGATTGCGAAGACGAATACCCCGATGAAGGTGGGCCTTTAGCTGCGTGTAATGATCCTTCTGCTTCCTCAAGAACACACGAACCACATATTGGTGACCATGGCGAGCAAGATGCCGTTCTCCCGAAGAAGAGATCACCAGTGCATCCGAGGACGGTGCACGGTCAGGAGAGGCCGTATAAGTATGTA